CACAGACCCACACTCACTGTTACTATTCACTGCACACCTGCTCCTTCACTGTGAAGCTCTTTTGGATATAAGGGAACAGTCATGATGGAGAGTCTCACTTCAGGCCATTCTTTGGTTTCCTCTCTACAGAACTGTCAAAGAAGTTAGTAGAAATCTTTCAGCAGACTCCTCTGGGCAAGTTTCTTGCCCATTTCAGTGGAGAGCAGCAGCAAGAACTTCTTCAGTGCTACATGAAGGACTTTCTTCTCTTGACCATGAGTGTGTCCACTGGGGAAGAACTAAAGGTAGATACTGACAAAGGGCCAAGCATAAAACTTATATAACGTGGACCAGATGCACACACAGGGACGTTTCCTCAGCTGTCTGGAGCTGGTGCTGTTATGTTTGGGAACAGAACGTGGCGTATGAAGGGTGCTGGTAGGGGAAAGTGCTGCTCAGTCTTCTCACAGCTCTCAGTGCCAGATCCTTCCCTCACTGCCCAGGATCTCCTAAAACATGGGCCTTTCTGTTAACATGAGAAAGACCTCTAGTTTCTTGTTAAATATTGAGCTTCTCTTGATGGAAATGAAGGTAAATAAAACCCTTGAGGAAAATTAAAGTAAATATTTAATTAACCTTACAGGGTAAGAATATACAGATGAAATTCAGTGGAAAGAGTATTACTTTTGACCACCTAAACTGTACTTTTTATAACGTCATAAAAAAGGAAAGTGACAAATTTGAGAGCATCCTTCCAACCAATATAACTAGAGGTTCATAAAGAATTCTTAGAAATCGATTTTTAAAAAACTAGTTTTAAAAATGGATAAAAGTTATAAAACAACTATTAATAGAATAATCATATCAACATTCAGAAAACATATGAACAGCTTCTTAGCTTTACTAGTAAATCAACGAAACATAAACAGTATCTAGATACCATTTTTACCTATTCATTTGGCAAAACTGATTTTCGAAGGATTGAAGTCAGTGCTGCAAAGAAAGGGTGGGCTCTAGGCCAACAGCGTGTGAGGAGCAGGTGCTCTGGAATCCATCTGGCAGGAAGAATCTAAGCCTGGTGCAATCTCATCTGCTGATTCTGTCCTAAGAAAATTATTGGACATGTGGACAAAAAATGTTTTGTTCACAGGAACATTCTTTTCAGCTTTGTTTCTAAAAATGAAAAATTAGAAACAACTTATTTGTCCAAAAATAAGGGATGGGCAAATTGAAGTATAACCATTTAACGGGTTATTAAGCAACCACTAAAATTATTGTTTTTAAAGTATACTCAGGGCTAGGTGTGGTGGTTCAAGTCTGTAATCCCAGCACTTTGGAAGGCTGAGGTGAGAGGACTGCCCAACCCCATGGATTCGAGAACAGCCTGAGCAACTTGGTGATACCTCATCTCTAGAATACATCAAAAAACTAGCTGGGCGTGGTAGCGCACGCCTATAGTTCTGGCTACTTGGAGGGCTGAGGTGGAAGGGTCGCCTGAGCCCAGCAGGTCGACACTGGGGTGGCCGTGAGTGTGCCACTGCACTCTAGCCTGGGTGACAGAGTGAGATTCCAACTCAAAGTAAGTAAATAATAAAATTAAAAATAAAGTATACTCAGTAATAGAGAAATGTTCATAATATAATGCTAAGTGGAAAAAAATCAGGAAGACAGGGTGATCCTAATTTGGGGATGACAGGGAGGAGATGCAGATATAAACATAACCAAAAGGGACTACAGCAAAAAGCAAGCTGGGGGCAGTTATAGTAAACATGACTTTTAGTTTTCTCCTTTGTAGTTTCTAAATAGTTCTCATTTTCCACAGGGAAAACAGCATTTTTAAAATTTAAAAATATACACTAAAAATGTTTCTGAATCCTAGTTTCTGCAGATGGCTCTGTGGTCTTGCATCAATGAACTAAAAGCAACATCAGGAAGGCCAGAGGAAGGGATTTCCTTACCATGGGTGCACCTTGCCTACCAGCATTTCAGGAGCCGGCTACAGAACTTCTCCAGAATCTTGACTATCCACCCCCAGATTCTGCCCAGCCTTACAGAAGCAGCACAGAACCATGACTTGGCTGGATGTGAGATGGTATGACCTTCCTGGAGAGGGCCTAGACTCAGCCTGCCTTGAGCGAGTGTTGGGTGCTTCTGACACCACCCTGGGAATGGAAAGCTTAGGGACTGTGTTCCAAATAGGAGACTTCTTCACTGGCACGTGAATGTGTTAAGAACACAGCTCACTGATGCTGCCTGTATCCCAAGGCGATGAAAGATTAGGTTACAAGCCTGGGACACAGGAACACACTGGGCTAACAGCCAGCGCCTTTGGCCTAAGGATTTAGAGCAGCCAAAAAAAGGAAAAAAATGGTTGGTGGGGGGAATATACTGCTCAGCCACATGTCTGCTCTCCATCTCCCAGACCCTGGATGCATTTGCAGCAATGGCCTGTGCTGAAATGCTGACAAGAGACATACTGAAGCCCAGTCCCCAGGCTTGGTTACAGTTGGTGAAGAAAATTTCCATGCCGCTGGAGTTCATCTGTTCTGATGGGTACATGCAAGGCAGTGGAAGCCTGGCCAAAGCTGTCATCAGGGAAGTCAGGTGAGACACAGGAGCCTGTCACCCCCTGCTTCCTTCAGCATGTGTCACCAGCAGCCTGCCAAGTCCTGGGCACATCCATGAGAAAGACTAGTAGCAGACAGTCCTGCCATGGGAAGGGCACTTTCCTCATACAGTCACTTCACATCCCTTGAGCCCTCGTTAAGTCCAAGCGTCTATTAGATGCTAAAGACACAAGAAGAAAGCTGTGCATTCAGGGAGTGCACTGTGTCCTGGGGGCCACAGAAGGCTAAGCAATTATTATGATTCTGTGTGAGAAATGCTGTGACACAAAGAGAGGTTAGGGCAGGCAGGTATGCAGAGAGGGGATAGGCTGTCAGGCTCAGGGTCGACTTCCCTAGGAAGTTAGGTCCTGTGCAGGGCTTTAGAGGCAAGGTGGGACTTACCAGGTGCATGGCTGTGCAGTGAGCAGGTCATGGTGGCAGTGCATTTTGAAGGCATCAAGCATGGGACATTGAGTCCTGTCTGAGCTGGGCATCTGAGGGAGAGTGGGGGGCAAGCCAGGGAGCGCATCACGGAGGGCTTGTTTGTAATCCCAGCTGTTGGCCTGGACCCTGGGTCCTTTTCCTCTTTTCTCCCTTCCCCGGTTTAGTCTTAGCCTGCTTTGTTAGAACTGAGTGACACCCCTCTTTTGACAGAACCCAGTGGAGTCGGATTTTTTCCACTGCTCTCTTTGTGGAGCATGTGCTCCTGGGGACCGAGAGCCAGATCCCTGAGTTACGCAAACTGGTAACAGAGCACGTCTCCTTATTAGACAAGGTGAGTACTTAGCCTGTCTCGGCAACAAGCACAAATCCATCTCTTTCCAAAATGAAGAATAACAGAAACGTAAGCCGACACTGATCTGCATGTAGGTGTGTGCTCTCCTAGCATACACCCACCTGACAATTTTATCTAGAAGTGTAAAGAAGTGATTTCATCCTTAAGCCATTAAGTGTTCAGTGTTTAACTATTTAATCGTTTACCCTCTCTTGATTACTAAGTCAAGGTATACCATTTAGGGTTCAGTTGCAGAAATAGAAACTATTTTAGAGATTGTACACAGGAAGGAATGCATGTAGGGAACGTGCTTGTGAAACTTTTGAGAGGAGTTACCCAGCCTTTGCGGTGACCCCAGAACAGACCATCAACTTGGTCATCTGTGGGCTCTGTTACCACTGCACAGTGGGAGACAAGGATGCAAGAGAATGCCCCTGGGATTGGGGACTTCAGAACAGAGTGCTGTTGGTAGGACCAAGGGAACAGAAAGCCACTGTGCCTCTGCCTCTCAACTCTTTATAAAGCTAGTGACAGGAAAGTGCCCCTGCAGAAAAAACCACCACCTCTGGGACAATGCAGTGATGGCCAGCAATGATGGCCACACAGCCAGACACAGCCTCTGCCTCACCTATGACCTTTCCATGAGCACATCCAGAACGCTCATGTCAGCATGTCTGAGAAAGGCAGCATTGCTCAAGGATGGCGTGGGGCCTCAAACCTACTGAGCTCCGCTGCCTTGTTGGTGCCTCTTACAGATTACCTGAACTTGTGGTCTGCAAAGTCTCCTATAGGACTTTGTTAAAAACTGCAAAAAGGAGCCAGCATGTGGATGGATATTCAAGTTTCCTCAGTCAGTTCTGACAGAAAGACTGGAAAAATAAGCAGGGAGGTAGATAAAGAGCTAGACAGATTCTCTCGGCATGTGATCTGCCCCCAGGTTGTCACAGATGACAGTCTTTCCAGGTGTCTTGCTGAAGATCTTAAGGGCATCATCAGCTTTCCAGTCTGTAACATCTCCATCTTTGCCATCCTCCACCCAACCACTAAGCCACTGCCATGTTTTTCATTGTGGTAAGATGTACATAACATAAAATTTACCATTTTAGCCTTTTTTTTTTTTTTGAGTTTTGAGTGAGCTCTGTTGCCCAGGCCTCGACCTGCTGGGCTCAGGCGATCCTTCCACCTCAGCCTTCCAAGTAGCTGGAACTACCGGCATGCGCCACCACGCCTGACTAATTTTTTTATTTATTGTAGAGACGACGTCCTCACCAAGTTGCCCAGGCTGGTCTCAAACCCGTGACTCGGGCAACACTCTCACCTCAGCCTCCCAAAGTGCTGGGATTATAGGCATGAGCTACCACGCCCAGCCCATTTTAGCCATTTTTAAGTATACAATTCAGTGACATTAATTACATTCACAGTGTTAGGCAACCATCACCATCATCCATCTCCAGAACTTTTTCATCTTCCCAAACTGAAGCTCTGTCCCTATTAAACGTTGACTCCCCATTTTCCCTTCCCTAGGTCCTAGCAACCTCTGTTCCGTTTTCTGTCTCTAGAAATCTGATTACTCTAGGTATCTCAAAGAAATGGAATCATTCAACATTTGTCCTTTTGTGTCTGGCTTATTTCACCAGCATAATATTCTCAGGGCCATCCATCCATGCTGTAGCATTTATCAGAATTTTCTTCCTTTTTAAGGATGAGTAATATTTCAGTGTATGGATGCCCCAGATTTTGTTTACTTATTCATCTGTTTCCACCTTTTGGCTACTGCGAATAATGCTGTGAATGTGGGTGTACAAGCATTGGTTTGTGTCCCTACTTTTTTTTTTTTTTCCAAGAGACAGGGCAGTACTCTGTCATCCAGGCTAGAGTGGCAAGATCATAGCTCTCTATAGCCTTGAACTCCACCTCAGCTTTTCAAGTAGCTGGGACCACAGGCACGTGCTACCCAGCCTGGCTTTTTAAATTCTTTTGAATATATACCTAGAAGTGTAATTGTTGGATCATATGATAATGCTATGTTTTACTTTATGAAGAATCATCACATTGTTTACCACAGTGGCTGCACCATTTTACATTCCCACCAGCAATGCATAAAGTTTCCTGTTTCTCTACACCGTAGCTAACACTTGTTGTTACTTTTTTTTTTTATAAAGGCCATCTTAATGGGTGTGAAATGATATCTCATTGGTGCTTTGATTTCCATTTCCCTAGTGACTAGTAATGTTGAATATCTTTTCATGTGCTTATTGGGCATGTACTATATTTTTTGGAAAAATGTCTATTCAAATCCTTTGCCCGTTTTTGAATTGGGTTGTTGGTTAACAAAGCAAATTTATCAGAGTATTAACAAATACATCATTTCCAAGTAAGATTAATACGGGAGGTGGGGCACAGTGGCTCACGTCTATAATCCCAGCACCTTGGGAGGCCAAGAGTTCCTTAAGCCAGGAGTTCAAGACCAGCTTGGACAACATAGTAAGACTCTATCTCTACAAAAATACAATAATTAGCTAGGTCTTGTGGCACATACCTACAGTCACAATTACTTGGGTGGGTGAGGCAGGAGAATCATTTGAACCTATGAATTTGGGGCTGCAATAAGCTATAATCACACCATTGCACTCCAGCCTGTGTGACAAAGTGAGACCCCCATCTCAAAAAAAAGAAAAAGAAAAGTTTAAACCTGGGAATTCAAGGATGTGCAAAATCAGAAAATCTATAAATGTCATCAGTTATATAAATTAAAAGAAACTCAGATGATCATTTCAAAAGATACAGAAAAAGCATTTGACATAATTTGATATAGAAAAAAATACTCTTGGCAAACTAGGAATAGAATGGAACTCTCCTTGAGCATATAATATTCATGAGTATACACAATATAAAACACCTACACAAACATCATTTCCAACCATAAAATTTCATGAAGCATAGCCATTAAACTATCTTGTATTGCTGAAGATGTCTATTGCCTAAAAACCAGTGTTTTCACTATTTAAAAAAATTTTTTTATTTTAAATATGTGGGGTACAATTCAGGGTTAGGTATACAAATGTTCATTATGCAGGTACCCTTGTTGATGAGGTGTGCCCCTGCCCTCCCCTGGCAGTTTCTCACTACTACCAATCCCTTTCTTACAGTATTATGATAATTGTTCAAGGTCCACTTATGAGTGAGAACATGTGATACTCAGTTCTTTGTTTCTGTGATAGATCACTCAGTATTATTATAGCCTCTAAGTCTATCCAAGTTGCTGCAAAGTTCATAATTTTGTCCTTCTTTATGGCTATGTAATATTCCAGCATGTACATGTAACACATTTTTTTATCCAATCCTCTTTCGATAGGCAGTACAGTTGGTTCCATGTTTTTGCTATTGTGAATAATGCTGCAGTAAACATGGATGTGCAGGTATCTTTTTCATGAGTGATTTGAGTTCCTCTGAGTATATTTCCAGTAGGGGGATTGCAGGGTTGTATAGGAGGTTGATTTTTAGATCTTTTAGGAATAGCCACACTGTTTTCCACAGAGGCTGTACTAGTTTACACTTCCACCACAGTGTAGAAGTGTTCCCTTTTTGCTACATTTTCTCCAGCATCTGTTGTTTTTTGAGTTATTGATGATGTCCATCCTGACTGGAGTTAGGTGTGATTTTAATTTGTATTTCTTTGATGACTAGTGAGGCTGAGCTTTTTTCTCTTTTTTTCTTTTTGTGACTTGGAGTCTCACTCTGTTGCCCAGGCTGGAGTGCAATGGCATGCTCGCAGCCACTTCAGTGTCCACCTGCTGGGCTCACCTCAGCCTTCCAAGCAGCTGGAACCTCAGGCACGTGCTACCATGCCCGGCTATTTTTTAATTTATTGTAGAGATGATGTCTCGCCTAATTGCCTGGGCTGGTCTTGAACTCAAAGCTAGGCAGTCCAGTAGCCTCAGCCTTCCGAAGTGCTGGATTACAAGCTGAGCTACCAAACCTGGCCAAGACAGAGCATTTTTTCATATATCTGTTGGCTGCTCATATGTCTTCTTTTAAGAAGTGTCTATTCAGCCGGGCTCGGTGACTCAGTCTGTAATCCCAGCGCTTTGGGAGGCTAAGATGAGTGGATTGCCTGAGCCCGTGGGTTCGAGACCTGTCTGAGCAACTTGGTGAGACCTCATCTCTACAATAAATAAAAAAAAAATTAGCCAGTCGTGGTAGCACGCACCTGTAGTTCCAGCTACTTGGAAGGCTGAGGC